AGACTTTAGATTGGGGCTCGTAAAAATTTTGTTGTACTTGACGACCACGACACTCTGCAGAAACGAAAAATATCACATTTTGTTCAGCTCACTTTTCTCTACAAGACTAGATGTAAACAATTCCTTAGTTTCCTTTTGTTCGAACGTCAAGAGACTCGCAAAACAACAAAAATCGTGACGGAATCACGCGTTATGCATACAGGCCGAGAAGCGACAGCAACGTTTTACTGCTATTGATAATTCACGTTCGCATTTTAGCTTACTGAAAATTATGTAATACATTTCTAAAATTTGTTAGTTCGGTATAACTTCCTATGAAAGTAACGTATAGCATTAGGGGTGGCACTTTACTAGCTACTCTTACTTAGCTACTTTACTTTACCGGTAACGGAGTTTAGGTAAATTAACGAAGTTAGTTACTTAGTTACTTCGTTACTAGTTACAAGCAAAGTAAAAGTAAAATGCCACCCTTATATAGCATAGATGGTAAACTTATTAAGACTGTTTCCACAAAGTTCTTAAATAGATACTCAACTTAGTTCGTACTTTTATAAAAAAAATCTTTTATCGATTTTTACTTAATCATAAAGTTAGAGATAACAGTAAGTAGCCCGTTTTGTACATGAAACATACTGGGTAATAAGTGAATGATGTTTAACGACACTCCAACGGCTGTATATATTCCGTACTCAACAGTTGCAAAAAAGGTAATAATAACTGCTGCAACAAAAATGAATAATTCTAATGGATGTACATCCCATAGTTCTTTCCAGACTTTTGGACCTGATGCCAAATCGGCCACAGCATGTATAATCACTGCAGCCAATACAGCATCGGGTATATAATAAAATGCAGGTGTCAATGCATATAAGGATAAAACAACGACGCATGCGCTAAATACACCAGCGATGGGTGTACGAACACCGGATTTTGATTTAATGGCAGTACGTGAAAATGAACCAGTAGTCGGATAGGCGGAGAAAAAACATCCAATGATATTCGTGACACCAATAGCCACAATTTCTTGATCTGGATTAACTGAAAAATAAATGAGATGTTAAACTTAGGCGAAAACCGATCTCAGAAACTATGGTCTCGATCTCAGTAAAACTTTCCAGGAATGTCAGTCTTGCCAAAGGTCCCTTAATGACAGGAAATTTTTGTCGGCTCTACCAATCGGTATTAACGCGATGTCGCTCATATACCAATCACAATGAAGCACCAAACAATAAACATTAAACAGATTTCTCCGTCAAACTGAATGATGGAGGGCGCGATTGATTTCAAATCACAGATACATCTATGACTCCGACTCTCTTCCAAAAAAAGTTTCTTTTGAATTCTCCAGTAGGATATGAAACCGTGACCTGTAAAGTTCGTCAAGGTTACTTAATGATCCTAGTGCAAAGATAACGCTCTATATGAATTTCCACCAGGTAGACTGACAAAACAAGAGGCACTACAATAGTGCCTTCGTGTTAAGATTTTTCTCTTTCCAGATAATGGTCTAACGGCCAAGAAAAAAAAAGTGCTTCCTTTCGTGATTCTTAGACGTTTTTTTGGGGCAGTTTTATTTTGCCTTAAATACATTGCAAAAGAATTCTAATCAATAATTATCCATTCAAAA